TTCTCAACCTGCCATTGTCCTTGCAGAGTTCAGTTTCCTCCTCATCTACAAATCTGAGATAAAAGTCCTTTGCCCTTCCTGAACTGGATTTCCCTGGATTGCCTTTCCTTCATTGGATTAAATGTGAGATAAACTGAGGTACTCCCAAATGTGAAGGATGCAACACCACATCAGAGCACCAGTCTCAGGTTTTGGCTTGTACCAAGTGAGATGAAGCAGGGAAGCAGCTCAGAATGTAGAAAGAAAATCCATTTCCTCCCTAGTGTCTAGGAGGAAGCTAACTCCACACTAAATTATGTTACAAATATGCCCCAAGGTAGTTTTAATTTTATTGGTACTGATTTTAATTTACTCTTTAGGCCCCTGATTGCAGGATGAGCTGTTGGCTTCTGGCAATGGGACAGCCCTTCATTGCTTGGTTTTAATTAAGGTTCTTAAGGTTGGAAGGAAAGAACAGATACTCCACCCCCTTTTCTCATTCCCAAGTTATAATTAAGGGACCTGCATTTGCGACATACCCCATGCTCCAGCATGACCATAGAGAAGCACCTTGTTTTACTGTTAGAAAAAGCTTGAGATGCATTTGTTCGTTCATTAATTCACTCTTTCTTTCATTTCCTCATTCATTCTTTCATCAAACCTTTAATGATGACCTACTATACATCAAGTCTTCTCCTTGTTCTGTGGATTTAAAAAAATCAACAACATATGATCCCTGTCCTCAAAGAGCAGGGTCTCCTCAAAGAGGAGATAAAAATAGAGAATTGTAATGTCATGTGGGGTGGCTGTTCACTCAGCCTGAGGGATAAAATACATTCTGGGTGCTTTTTCTTTTTCTTTTTCTGTTTTTTTAGCTGTTCTGGGAATTAGACCCAGGGCCTCGGACATGTTAGGTAAGCACTCTGCCACAAAAGATAGCCCAGTCCTTTTAAAATTTAATTTTGAGACAGGGTCTTACTAAGTCACCGTGGCTGCCTTCAAACTCACTATGTAGCCCAGGCTGCCCACAAACTTGTGATGTTTCTGCTTCAGCCTCCTGAGTACCTGAGATTTCAGGCATATACCTCCATGCCTGGAAATAAAGCTTTTGGATTGAGATTTTGCACTAGCCAAGATGAATAATACTAACTTCTATAATAAACAATTCCCAAATCTCAGTTCCTTAATATACCAAAGGTTCATTTCTCTCATGTCACAGTCTGATGCAGGTCAAATAACTCTCCTGGCCATTTTCTGTAAGCATTGATTCAGAGATGCAGGCTACCTTCGTATGGTACACCAGTTTACATGTAGTTTCCATGAAGAAGGACAAGAGAAAGTGGTTGATTGTGTATGAATTTTATGGCCAGCCTCAACATGTTATTACCACCACCCATATCCCATTTGATCACAACCAAAAGAAAACTTGAATAAGTGGAAAGTTAAAACATCTTCTTGGATGGGAAAACTCAAAGACGTAAGAGTTAATTCTTCCTAAGTTGATCCATAAATTTAATGTGATTATATTATAAATATTGACAATATTGACAGAATTTGGGGTGTGAGGAAAACTAAAAAGGCTAATTATAAACAAGATGATTATAAATACCACATAGAAAATATGTGAAAATATCCATGAAAGTTCAGAAAATGAAGCATAATGAGGTAAATACTAATTTTCAAATATTATACCATATTATAAGCAGAAAAGAATAAAAACCATGTGATATTGACACAGGAATGTAACAATGAGAATAGAGTTAGTAGGGCTGTGGAGTGGCTCAAGTGGTAGAGTACCTGCCTAGCAAGCATGAGGTCCTGAGTTCAAACCCCATTGCAGGAAAAAAAAAGAATAGATAGGAAGTACAGAAATAAATTCAAATACATACAAAATTATATGGTAAATATGGCTATTCAAGTCAGTGAGGAGAAGATGCATAATTCAACAAGTGGTATTGGGCCAATACAATTTAATCCTTACCTCACTCCCTACAGCCATGTAAATTGACATAGAAACAAAATATTTAAGAGTAAACAATGAAACAGTAAAATAAAATAAATAAGGAAACCACAAATGAAAAGATTGATAAATATGACTAAAATTAACATTTAAAAATTTGTACCTGGGGGCTGACAGAGTAACTCAATTGGTGGAGTGAAGCATGAAGCCCTGAGTTCAAATCCCAGTACCATAAGAAAAATTATGCATGGAAAAATGTACTACTAAAAGTAAAGTAAAAAAGACAAATGACAAAAATGTTTATCCTACACATAAATGTTAATTTCTCTACCATATAGCTTCTATAAATCAGTAAGGAATAAAACTTAACAATCCTATTCTTAAAATGGACAAAGAAAACAATTGGTCAATTCATAGAAAAGAAAGTGCAAGTAGTTCTTAAACATAAGAAAAATATTTAACCATATAATAAAAAGATAATTATACTTACAGAAATTAGATTAAAACCAATCTTAGATATCAATTTCCCACATCAACTTGGTAAATATCAGAAAGTTTGATTCTGCCTGTGTTGTCAAGGTAATCGAAAAAGAGATACTAATACATGGCTAGGAGTAAACTGGTTCTTCTAAGGTTAATCTACTAATGTTTATTAGAATTGCAAAACCACATAGCATCAAGTAATTCTGTTTCTAGGAATTTTTTTGTGCTTTTTTTTTTGAGACAGGAATTTCACTATGTAGACCAGGCAGGCCTCAAACTCTTGTTCTTCCTGTCTCAGCATCCTGAATGCTGAGATTGCAGATGTGTACCACCATGCCCAGTTCTAGGAATTTATCCTACATATAATTGTATATGTAGGAGATGCTGTATATACAATGTCCATCACTAAGACATTGTTTATAACAGGAAAAGATTGGAAATACCTTAAATGTTTATCAATAGGAAACTGGTTAGTTTATATGTGGCTGTTAAAAAGAATGAAGTCACTATTGACTGAGAAAGAATCACCTCCAAGATGTATTCAGAGAAAAAAAGCAGACCCAAAAAGTATCATTAGGGTGCTACTGTTTAGGAGTGGGGCAATATTTAGTTGTACATGCACAGACTGTCTCTTGAAGGATATGTGCCAACCTGGTAAAAGTAGTTGCCTCTAGGGAGCAAAACTTGGGTGAATGGAGGATGGGATGAAGGAAGATTTTTTTCAATGTAAACCATTGCATACTTTTTTACTATTGAATCAAATGCGGCAATTATAATTCACCTGCTGGCTAATGAAAGGCGATTCAGATTAGCCGCCAGATGTGAGAGACAATGGGCGCCATATCCAAATGGTTAACAGAAGAGCTTTGCTCTAATTCTTGCTCCTTCACGAGCTTTCTGGCAAGCCTTAAGCAAGCAACTTCCCCACTCGGGGCTGATGCAAAAAAAAAGGTCAAAGAAACTGATTTCCAGGCCTTCTCTGGCTCTGACAGCCAGAGATATAAATTGCAGTTTTTCCTCACACATTTCGTAAGTCATCTCTCTACCACCTCCTTTCCTCTGCAGCTCATCAAAAGCTCAGAGGAAAAGACAGACAATTGAAGAAAATAAAATTGCAAAGATGACTTTTATAGGGCTCCTGTTGAATCATTGTGTATTCCACCTCCAAAGCTGAAAATGATGAGTTTAATATCACACAGAGCTGTGCATCTTGTATCTCTCAAAAGACAGCTTATGCTACCCAGAGAACTGGGAACTCGGCAAGACATAATTTTTCACTCCAACTCTGAGGCAAATGAAATGACAGTCATCAAGCCCACATTCTAGAAGCAACATGGTTTTCATTTGCCTTTAACTTCATTTGAAAGTGTCCCAAGGAGGGCGAATCTTTCCAGATGTGGACTTTTCTTCTTTTCCAGGATTACGTACTAGAAAGGAAGTAGTTTTGACTTGGCTGTTTCTGGTGTTGGCCATTGACGATGATAAATTAATTGTTCCAGGGGTCAGGAGGCTTGTGTGTCAGTGACAATTACTCCATGAACTTGGAAAAATTCCTTCCACATTTGGGTCCTATGTTATTCTTAGAAGGGATTGGTAAATACCGATAGGGGTGATATAGAGGAAGAGAAGTTTGTGCTTGAGGAACAGTGAAGCTCTGGTGGCCTGAAAGTCCCCCAGTTCTTCCAGTATGTTATGGAGTCTGGAGTAATCTCTTGGGATCTTTTGTTCAGTCACTCTGCAGTCACTAAGCTCTTTACACACAACTCCCACACTTGCTGAGCAGGTTAACGGATAATATATCAAGCTAGGAAGTGCCTTAAGTATGTGTAAGCAGAGAGCAGAGAAAGACTAATCAATGTCATTTACAGATTACAAATACTCCTCAACATAAGCAATGTCTATGTTATTGGGGAGTAGATGTGACCTCATGAAGAAAGGTTAAATAAAAGAATTAACTAAGACTTCATAAAGCTCCCAGCGTGATGCCTGACATGCATTTGATATGCAGGAAGTAATAATAACTATTACCACTGTGTTTAGTTCACACTAGAACTCTCTGAGGTTGAAATCAAAATACCAATTTTTTCAGATAAGAAAGTTGAGGCTCAAAGTGGGAACATGATTTATACCAGGTCTTCCAGTCAAAAATGATAGGGCAAAATTACAAGTAGGCCTAAAGGAAATACAATTATACTACGTGGAAGGCATGTCTCTGTAAGCAGAGAATGTCTAATCACGAATGTGTTAACTGTTGTGTAGAAGTAACGTCATGATTTAACCCAATGAAACCTCACTTCCTCAGAAGACCTCTGAAGAGGGATGCTGATGGCAGTGCTCTCAGACCCTGAGGACACATTGGTTAAAAGTGAAGAGAAATCTATCCTCACCTGTCTCAATGCCTCAGATCACATTGTAAATAGTTGCCAAGTCTGCTGACACAAAAGGCCAGCTTGAAAGGGTGTTGGCCACTGGTGTGTGTGTGTGTGTGTGTGTGTGTGTATACATGCATAGTATCTGGATCCTTTAAGGCTAGCTCTATGGTGCCAGACTCCTCATTTACTGTCTCTTCTGTCAACAGAAAACAAGCCTGGAGTTTTATATTGACATTCACGCCCACTCCACCATGATGAATGGTTTCATGTATGGCAATATCTTTGAGGATGAGGAACGGTTCCAGAGGCAGTCCATTTTTCCCAAACTTCTCTGCCAGAATGCTGAGGACTTCTCTTATGTAAGTCAGAAGCTCTAAAGTGGCCAGCCCCAGCCCTCTGTACACCTCAGTGTCTCTTCTTCTTACTGTCTCTTTCTTCTGGTTCGGCTCAGTTTGAGTTGTCCTTCACCTTCACTGGATACCTACTCTGTGCCAGGTCTTTCATGGGTGATGAAGACAGAGTTACACAAGTTATGACCCTGCTCTCAAGTTGCTCATCCACAGTCAGGGAGGGAGCCTCTGACACAGTCAGTCTGAGGAGCTGGCATTTGTTTAGTGGGTCTGACTCTAGTATTAACAAGGAAAAGAAACTCTCTGAGTACCTCCCAGGGCCTGTTTTCATCTACTTCAGTCCTTTCATACAAGTTAACATGTTTGCTCAGGGTTGTGCGTCCACCATTCCCTTTCTTCATGACTCTTGACCTCAATTTCTTTGTCAGTAATAGGTGGGTGATACTTTTCTACCCTGCTGGCACTGTAGCTTCCTGGGTGAATACATGTAACTGTAGATATGAAAGTCCTTTGCAGGCAGTGAAGACTTCAACAAACTCCAGGACTTTTGGTGTTGCAATTCCCTCACAAGTGAGGAGGGCTGGACAGATGGCGAGGCAGCAGAAAAAATTTGTAGCAGAAAGCAATATTGGAAAAAAAAACAGGGAATAATGATAAGGAGAGGAATCAGCATGTGGTTTCAGGACATGGGAGAGTTTTTGCACATTTTCCTTTGTTTTGATACTAAATCTTTAAGCCTTGTTATTTCCATGTGGCCAGAGGGGAAGGTCATAGCAATTTTTGAAGTTGATGAGCTGAAAACTCACCTGCCCATTGCTTCAGGCTGGACATTATGGGGATGATGAATTTCTCTGTGCAGTAAGATGCACTTTGAATCCTAGAATCTTTGAATGTCAGACCAAGAAAGGAACAATAAATCGTTTTGTCCAGACTTTCTTTATATCCAACAGACACCTATGGGCCAGAAAAGTGGAGAATCTAATGCAAGGTTGCCCAGCATTTAGGAGTAGATCAAAGCAAGTACCTGCTCATTTGCAGGTATGGGACAAAAATAGCCATGCTGTTTTAGAGGCTCTGTAGGATCCTCTAAAGGATGATCAGACCTGTCTCTTTGAAGCCACAGGAATTTCAGAGCAGGTGATGGCTTCCAGGTCCAGCTTACTTGGAAGGTGGGTCATTGGTCTCAGAGACCCTTACAGGGGAGAGGTTTCTAGGACTCACAGAAGAGGCACTGTTTGGAAGCCTTCTTTCTGGGATGGCCTGATGATGTTCCTGAAATGCAGCCTCCTTAGGAGCTCAGGTTGAAGTAAGGTCATCTATCCTGGTCTAATCACTATCCAATTCCAAAACAGAAGATTTGGGTTCCACTACATGGATTTCAAAGAAGTCCTTTCACATCTGACATTCTGTGATTTTCCCAATTTTTTTCCTTTAACTCAACACACACACACACACACTCACACTCACATGTCTATATCTCTGCCTCACTCATCTCTCTTGTTTTGTTTTCATTCTCTCTTTTTCTTCTTTGATCTGCAGCTGATTGCTGAACTCATCCTCCTATTGAAACCACAGTCTTCATTTATTTAGATTTCCATGGATTCACAACCTTAAGTGAGTTGACACTCACAACTCTGAGAGCTGTTATTACTACCTCCACTCTACAGATGAGGAAACTGAGGCTAGTCCAAATAAGGCAACTTGCCTACCATCTCATCATAGTGGTAGTACAGCATGTGTTTTAACAGACATTCTCACTGGAGCCTGACATGCTCACTCTTCTCTCTCAGTCTACTCTGATGGGTGCTGTTGACACCCTATTGAAAAGGCCACCATGGGTCCCCTGATGATGTTCAGCTGTCTCCAATGAGGTGGGAGGCATTGGGAAATCTAGTGTCACTGAGTTTAAATCTCTACTATTTTACTTAATTGCTCAACCTCTGTGAGCTTCAGTTTCTTCATCTATAGAAAGATAAAATGTTGAATGTGTTCTTTTAAAGCCTAAGTGAAATACTATATGGGGAAAAATATAAAGTTGAGAGCACTGCCCAAAGTTTAGCTCTGATTGTCATCATAATATAGTCACTCTCGCCCTCTATGTTTCCCTGCTGCATGTGTCCCCATTCAAATATCCATACATGATTGTTGAGCAGCAGTCACTGTGCCCCAAGAACTGGATACTTTCATTTAATTATGTTTGTTTATTCAATCCATCCTCATAATAAATCTGAGATGTGGGATTAAGATCTCACTTTTCAGATGAGGAATTGAGATCGAAAGTTTTGAATGATTTGCTTGAGATATAATAGTCAGCAGGTGCCAGCCCTGACTTTCTCCTCTCTACTTTATCTCTCACAGTCCAGCACATCCTTCAACAGGGATGCTGTGAAAGCAGGAACTGGCCGGCGCTTCCTTGGTGGGCTCCTGGACCATACCTCCTATTGCTATACCCTAGAAGTCTCCTTCTACAGCTACATCATTGGTGGCACCACGGCTGCTGTTCCCTACACTGAAGAAGCCTGTATCCTTGTCAGATTCCCACTCAGCCCTGGGCCAGTTTTTATCCAGCAGGAGGATCAACTCTGGAAGGATTTACTAGGCGGGTCAGGAGTCTGGCCCCAGATCAGGACAGGGCTAAACTCTGGGTTGAAGATTGAGGTGGCGGGTTCTGCTGGTGCAACTTTGGGCTGTCCTGTTCACCCCTGCCTTTCATATGCCCTTCATGTGGATATTCCTCCAACTGCTACCTCCAAGTTCCAAGTCTTCCTCAGGTCTTCTGGACCCATGGGGTCCTGCTCTCTCTTTCTCTGCTGCTTTATCTTTCTTTCCCCTCCCCTCTCTCACGAGGCAGTGAGTCTTCCTCTGTCATATAAGGTATGCAAGTAGTAGACTGGATGTGACATGCCAGGGTTGTTGAAGAAGAGCTGGATGACCTTGACTACTCCTTCTAACCCTAAACACATAAAAGTATTTTCTCTTTTCATCTTTATTGTGTTTCTTGGGCTTTTGGTCTCTCACTTTTTTCTCTCTCTGCTCTCTATTTTCCTTTTTCTTGTTTTCCCCCCTTCTTCCTTACTTGTCCAATGGTTTTCTCCCTCTATTTCCTCCCCTCCTTACTCTTTTCTCTCTTCTTCCCTTCCTACTTTGCTCTCTCTCCCCTCTCTGCTTATTCTCCATTTTCCCTGTGTTTCTCTTGTCATCCTCTACATCTGTCTCTCTGCCGTCATATTTCTTTTTGACAAATTGATTTTCCTCCTAGTTTTTTCACAAAATTTCTCTGAAAATTCCTAATCTTGACATGATGAAATTAGGGGTTACTTTCTAACTTGCTTGATTTTTTTAAAGAGATTATTTAGTAATTCTAGCTTCCTGAATGTTGATCTTAATTTCAAAGTCACTGTATCAGGGCAGTGACAGATTATGATATGGTCTGCTTTCATTTAGCCTTTGGTTTATTTATTTATTTATTTATTTATCATTTTTACATTTACTCATATGTGTATACATTGTTTGGGCCACCTCTCCCCCCGACCCACCCCACTTCCATGCAGAACCTGTTCCACCCTCCTGTTCTCTGATTTTGTTAAGGAGAAAACAAAAGAGGTAATAAGAAAGACATAGCGTTTTGCTAGTTTGAGATAAAGATAGCTATACAGAGATTCCTAGTACTGATTCCATGTACATGTGTATTTCAGTCCACACTGATTCCTCTCTGCCAGACCTCTTCACTACTTCCCCATTGTGACCTCTGCAAGTTTAAGATTACTATATTAGCTCCTCTACAGTGTGCACATCTACCACATTCCTTATCCCTTCTGTGTGTATTCTTCCCATAGTGTGTGACCCATGTCCAATAATATTACTGCATTTGTTTTAGGTCTGTAATCCACATATGAGGGAGAACATGCAATTTTTGGCCTTCTGAGCCTGGCAAACTTTGCTTAAGATGATGTTCTCCAGTTCCATCCATTTACTTGTGAATGACAAAATTTCAGTCGTCTTTGTGGCTGAATAAAATTCCATTGTGTATAAATACCACATTTTCTTAATCCATTTGTCTGTAGTGGGGCATCCTGGCTGGTTCCATAGCTTGGCAACTGTGAATAGTGCTACAATAAACATGGGTGTGCAGGTGCATTTATAATAACCTGACACGCATTCCTTCAGGTATAGCCTTTGGTTTTTAGATTGATCCTTTTCTCCTTTCCCAACCCATTAGTTTTCTCAGAGAAAGAATTATAGTTGATGAGGGAAAAGGAAAAGGTTAAAACAAATTTTATACACAGTTGTCCTTCGGTATCCTGGGAGATTGATTCCTGGACCCCCATGGGTACTAAAATCCTCAAATGCTTTAATCTCTTGTATCAAGTGGTGTAGTATGTGCATATAGCCTGCATACATCCTCCTGTATCATTTAAATCATCTCTAAAAACTTATAATACCTAATGCAACATAAATGTTATGTAAACAGTTACTCTGGTATATTGTTTAGGGAATAATGACAAGAAAATTGTACACGTGCAGTAAAGATACATTTTTTGAATATTTTCTATCCATGATTGGCTGAGTCCTCAGATGCAGAGCCCACTATCGGTATGGAAGGCCCACTATATGAATAATTCTCCCTCACCAGAAGTGAAAGTGCTCCTATTTCTCCAACCCTTGGTGAGTGTTTTTGGAGGTTCTACCATATCCTATGCAGGAAACCATCTTTTTCTGTGGAGGCATGCCTTAGGATTACATGTGCCCAGCTCCCTGTAGCTTGGTGGCTCCCAGTTGCTTTGCTGAAAGCAGGGTGATAACCTCAGAAGAAAGAGCTAGCAAGGGGAAGGTCAGGTGTTAGATCAGTTTTCCAAACCCTGTAGAACACTGGAAAGATGATAAGAACTGAGTCCTCTCCCCCCAGTCACCAAGATTGAGGTAATCATCTTGAAGTCTGCTTTAATACCTACTTGGCGTAGCAAGGTCAAGGTAGCAGGATCTGCTCTGAGGCAGAATAGCTGTGATTTCCAAAGCCCTGCCCATCTCTTATATGCCACTCTGCCTCTTTCTGCCTCCTCCTCCTCCCAGTTCAATATCTTGCCTATGACTTCTCCAGTATCCCCTAATTCCTTAATACATGCATGAGTCAATTCCATACTATACCTGCTTTGCTCTCCTGTAATATTGTGGCAAAGGAGATAGAGGGAGTTGCCTGGAAGAAGAGTTTGAGCTTGTATTGCATAGAGGATTCTGCAGCTACATTCACAATGAGACATGGGTCCCTGTGGAAGAGGTCTGCACTTGGTTTGTCATTGTTTTCTGATGTCCAATTTGATGGATTTGCCTATCCGTTCTTAACACCTCTGACACAGTTTTGTGATGAAAGTAAATGTGTTTTTGGTAGAATATTCCTCCTTAGCCCAAGTCCAGGGTTTCTGCCCCTTGATTCCCAATTCTTACTCATCAAAAGTAAAGGCACATTAGTATATGCCAGGAATCATACAAGGCACCTGTGGTAATGTACTGAACAAGAAGACATGGTTCCTGACTCAAAGGGATTCCATTTTACTTGTGGAGACAAAAAAGGGAAAAGACATCTAACCTGAGTAGAAATTAGTCCAGTGAAATTAGGGGATGGATATCTGAAATGGCCAGTTGTAAAAAAAAATTTAGTGTGACTATGAAGATAATAAAGAGCAGTAGAAGGTTTTTTTTTTTTTTTCTTCTATTTTGTTTGAGTTTTGGTGGTACTGGGGGGTTGAACTCCAGGCCTGGCACTTGCTGAGCAGGTGCTCTACCCCTTGAGCTGCATCTTCAGCCTTTTTTGCTTTAGTTATTTTTCAGATAGAGTCTTACATTTTTACTCAGGGCCTGTTTGAGACCACTATCCTCTTACCTATGCTTCCCAATATCTGGGATCACAGGTACATGCCACCACACCCAGCTTAGAAGCAGTTTTTAAATAGGAGTGGGAACCTATCTGGATACACTGGAAATGATAGATTGAGAAGCTTACACTGCTGGCAGGGACATGTGTTAGGAAGCTGTTAGGATGATCCAGGTGGAGATAGTTCAGGACTAGAATAGGGTGGGTGGTTGTGGGATATTTAGAATGTGGGACTGAGAAGAATGGGGAACTTTGTGGATGGGGATGGCAGTGGGACACAGGAGCTGTTGATTGTAAGGAATCAAGGGTGAATGGAGAGGCTGTGCACCCACTAAGCAGGCCATGATGCTGTGGGAGCTACCGTTTTGTGTGCTGTCATACAGAGAATGGGAAAAGGAAACTGGAGTTGCACCAGAAATGCACAAGTTAATTCAGCTCACACAGGGTGATTTTACCTGCTTCCTGTTTGAAATACATTTTTCAAAAACTCTCATCTATCTCATAATAGAGGGAGACTTGAGGCAGACAGATTGTGATCTTTGTTGGCTGCTGGCTCCATGTCCCAATCAGAAAAAGAAATTACATGGTCTGATGGGAGTGACAATATGGTCTGGGAGGAAGTGTCCTCTAGACTGGGAGTCAGGAGACCTGACTATGATGACAGCACCAGTCTCAGCCCAGAGAGCGCCCTGCAGTGAGTCCTCCAGCCTATCTGAGGTGAACTTCTGCACCTTTGCAAAGTGACTGAGGACATTCATATTTTCTAACTTCTGCTGTGGCAATCAGAGATTTTCAAGAAAAAGTATGGCGTTATGCAGAGAACTGACTTTAGATTTAGACATATCTGGATTTGACTCTTGGCTCAACCACTTAGTAGATGGGCTACTTTGAGCAAGCTACATGACCTCACTGGCCTCAGTTTCATAATCTTTAACAGGCAGACTAATATTTCACCTCCCTGAGTTGTGATAAGGCTAAAGGAAAAAACATATATGAGTATATAGGAACTAAGATTAAGTAACTATTGGTCAAAACATTGAAAAGGGTTATATGAATGTGAATAAGACCCAGAATTTATGTCAAAGACAGTAGATAATGCTTAGAGAAGAGACCAGTGATTTTATTGTAGGATTCATGGGGCATTGGTGGGGTCACCACAAAATGCTATCTGGTACACAGTGGGGAGATAGGTATTTCCTGTAATGGAGTTTTCTATCTGTCATCCAGGGTGGCCTCTTCCTAGGAATCAGGATACACTGAGGCCAGATTAGTTAACTAGAGGGTGCTGGATAAGACCAGGGAAGGATTGGGAAGGTGGGGAATCTGGGGGGATATTTCACCCAGATCTGGAATAGCATTCACCTTTCCATAGGCCAGAACATATGTATATCATTTCATTTTTCCTCCCCAGAAAAACGCTAGCTAAACATGATCTGAGCCTTGATCTCTGACTTCCCTTTTCTACCACATTAAAAAATAGAGCAATAAACAGTCATTTATGCTTACCTAGCTGTGTAACCTTGGTTTGTTATCCCACCACTCTGAGCCCATTTTACCATTTGTAAAATAAAAATCACACTCATGTTGCAGGGCTATTAGAAAAGTGAAGTGATGCACCATATCTGCAGTCCCCTGGTCCTCTCTGGCACTGG